TGATTTTTTTTCTTAATGTCTTTAATTAGCAGTTGGTGACCCCTGCATTTTAGATCCCCAAGGACAGGGAACACTAGCCACACCCTGCTTTCAGCTTCCAGAACTTCCCTGTCAGACCGGACTTCGGAGCCCAGTGTCCCCTTACCCTCCTCCTGCAGGGTCCAGTCGCCGCTACCAGGTGAACGCTGTGCACACCAGCAAGGCCTGCAATGTCATCAGCAAATACACAGCCTTCGTGCCCGTGGACGTGAGCAAGAGCCAGTATCTGCCCATGGTGGTGGAGTACCCCAGCTCAGGTAAGGCACAGGGTTGCTGGGCACCCTTGGGGACCACCAAGGACTCCATGGTCTGAAGAAGAGGCTAAGATACAGGGAGGGATGGAAGCAAGAAAGACCCCCCACCAAGGCAGTTTGACCACCAAGGGTAAGAGACACACGGGATTCCAGTCCTTCCTTTTCCCCACCAAATGAAGATAACTTTATTTTTTCCAACAAGGGCAATGATATGTGCTCTTTGTAGAAAATTCCAAAATGTAGAAAGATATAAAATAAATGAAAATGACAGGACTAACAGTCATCTGAAATGAGTACTGGTTGACCATCCTTCCAGATTCCTCTCGATCAATATCCATGTGTTGAGAAAGCCAGACAGATAACGTTACCTGCATAGGAACATAACATTATGTGCTATAGTTTACAAAATGCAGATATTAAAAGTCTATCCTTGAAGTGCATCTATATTCTTTTATAGCTGTGGTGTGCTCCACTGTGATACAATGCTACTTTTTAAGGGATGGCTTGCAGACTAGTGTTTTCTGAGGGTGGGATTCCCTAAACACACTCTGAGGGATTTGGCTTCATCTCTCTTCTATCCACTCCTATCAGCAATGCACTGGGACTTTGGGGCCCTGCCCTGTGGGAGGGGCAGCCAGGACATGGGTCTCTGTGACAGCAATGAGAGAAAAGGATAGGGTGTTCCCCAGAAAACGAGCCTTTTAACTAACTAGAAAATGGGGCCAGGGATTTAGCTCAGTGGCACCGCAACTGCCTCACAAGCACAAGGTGCTGAGTTCCATTCCTGGTACCCAAAAAAGAAAACACTGCTGCTTCCTGCACAACATCTCAGCAGTGGCAAGATAGGGATTCTTATCCTTATTCTTCAGACAGGGAAACTAAAGCTTGGAGTGGTTCACATCCCTTTCAGCTAGTAAGAGAGGGGGCTAGGGCTGAAACCTGGCTCTTTGTGACTCCAAAGCTCATGGTGTCATCTTGGGAAAATTGGAAGCCTAAAGCCAGAGTGCTTCCCACCAGCCCTGGGGAAGGGACAAGGACTCTGCACCCACCTGATCTCTTCACTTTGTCCTCCATGAAGGTGTCACACATCGGATGGTCAGCTCCCGGCCTCTGACCCGACAGTGCAGGGCCACCTCTGCTGGCTTTGGTTGGCCCCAGACCATGCCTGGAGAAGACTCAGCCACAGGAGATGACACATTTCAGACCCTAAGTAAGAGCCTCCTCGGGAGTGTTCAGAAGCCAGAGCCCCTGAAGTTACTGCCCCCTCCTTCCCAAAGTCCCAGAGGGCCCCTCTGTGACTCCCTTCAGCAGCCCCAGGACAAGGGCAGGCCTCCTAGGATTTCTGAGGCCTAAGGTGATCTAGGGACTCCTTGTGTCTCAGGTCCAGCGCCATTAACACCATCTCTCTAGGCAGAGGGAGCTGCTGGGAGCAGGGGGCAGTGGGCCTCCCTCCCTGGCCTCCCTGCACACCTTCTCTTCCAATGCCTGCTGCCCTAGTGACTGTTCCCACCCTCCAGGCTCTGGGTCCTTCCAGGCTCCAAATGCCAGCAAACCTAATAAACGTGGAAAAAAAGCAAGGAGCAGAAAGGCAGGCCCATCTGTTTGGGTCCCACCATCAGTTTCTCCCAGGGTTCCCAACAGCTTCCCCTTGGCCCTCACCTGATTTCATTGTACCTGCAGCTTAAACCAAGAGCCATGATTTGACCTTTGTGTGACCATGCACTAATTTACAGGATGGCTACCATGCATCTTGCATGTATCCATGTCTTTCTGGCTCTCCAAAGGCAGCCTACGTGCTGCACTGGTCCTGACCCCTTCCTTGGTGCCTTGCCAGCATGATGAAGACGTCATGCCTTCTGCTGGGCATGGGGAGGACACTGGGGATCCCACCTGACCACCAGCCCAGCCTCTCACACCTTAAGAATGTTTTATCCAAGGGACTAGGAAGGGCTCACAGACACTGATAGGTAGAAAAGAAACACTTTGGGAGGCAATGGACACCCAGAGTTTCTCACTGAAATAAAGGACTTCTGCCAACTCCTTGGTCCCCTTGGCTTCCAGACCCCAGGGGAACCCACTCTGCCCCTGAGCCACATTGAGCTTCCCAGGAATTTCCTACCCATCCCTTCCTTCTCCCCAGCTCAGCTCTTGGTGACCTGTGGCTTTCATCAAAATCACTTCCTTAGCAGTGTCCTTCAATTCACACCCAAGGGAGTCTGACTTCTAAACTATTATTCTACTCCACAACCTTTCCCTCCCTAAGGAAGATGTGGCCAACACAGAGTTTTCTATATGCTGGACACTGTTCTAATCTTTCAGAGTGCTTCACAAACATCTCGAGAGGTTTTTTTTATGGCTCGCAATGAAAAGTGGGAAAACTGGGGTTCAGAGAGGTTAAGTGAGTCAGGAAGGTCACACAGCTGATATGTGATGGAGCCAAGGCTTGAAGTTAAGCATCCTCCTGTTTGTGTCCTCGCCTCCTCATTCATTCCATCATTCTGTCTGTAGTTCACTCTTGTGCTGGGTGTTCAGGGTAATAAGCAGAGCTCCCCCTTGGCTAATGGTCTCATGGCTAATGGAGAGACAGGCTTTGCTCACCATATTTGTACACAAAGCTTTTCCTATAACTTGGACCTTCCCTTACAGTGGGTTGTCCCACCAATTTAACCCTTGAAATGGCAAATATAAGAGTAATCACCTTGATTATGCACTTTGAACATAGGATATCCAATTATTATCCCCATTCTGCAGATGGGGAAACTGGGGCTCAGGGCCCTCCAACAAGGCAGTGTCATATTCTGGTACCCAGGGAGAGTTGGCATAAGCCACCTCTTCAGTGAGGCGGAGACCTGGGGAGGAGATGCCAACCCTCCCCCCAGCCCCTAGCCCACCCTGAAGCCCCTGACCTGTGCCTGTTTCCCTTCTGGGTCTGCAGTTGCGGATTTTATTGGACGCTTAGCTGAGCACTAAGCACTGTGTATTATCTCATTTAATCCTTACAAGGACAACTGTGAGATAAGTACCATTAGCCCCTTGGCAATCAAAACTATAAAGAAAATAACTTTGCCAGGGCCCAGAGGCAGTCAGTGGGGCAGTTGAGATTTGAACCCAGGCATGGGAGGGGAGAAAGGGAGGGCCAGGAAAGATCAGGCCTCACTGGCTTTCTGTGTTGTAGTCACGGAGGAGAGACTGACCTCACCCTTCAGCCAAGTCCTGTCCCCCAGCCATGAGAAGCACACAGTTGCAGAAGGTGAGCGGCAGCTGGCTCCGTATCTCTTAACGAAGTCGGTGAGTGAGATTGGTCCTGACATCCAAGAGTGTCTGGGCTCCAACAAGGCTCTGAGTTTCCCTGATGCCTCAAAACAACCATGTGAGAGGTAAAGAGGGTCACCTCAACTTAAAGATGGGGAAACTGAGGCTTGAAGAGGGGGAGTGATTTGCCCAACATCACACAGCAAGTTAGTGACAGTCAGGTCTCCCAAGTTCAGCTGAGGCGTCACTGAACCACTGCCCTCTACCTAGCATCCTCCAGCAGTGCCAGGGGGACAACTCAGTGTCCCCATTTGGGGATGAAGGGGACAGGTGTAAGGTTGTCACTGCCCTCATAAGTGGCCTCCCAGAAGATGCCAGTGGCCACCTGCCAAGGACACATGGAGTCCAGTTTCTTACATATTTCACCCTTCCCTATACCAAGTGGATCAGAAACAGCCCTGCACCTGGTTAGTTCAGATCCCTAGAGCCATGAGGATATAGGAAGCCCCTGCCTCACTAAGGGCCTCTGTTTCCCTGGCTAGATAGTGAGCAGTTAGACAGGTCACCTGTCAGGCCTCACTCTGTCATTCTGTGGCCTCCAGGTCCCCTGCACAGCCTGCCCACCAACACCCTTTCCTCCATGAAGGCCTCAGAGACTCTCTTTGGATCCAAGTAAGTGGGATTTCCAGGGAGGGTGTGGTGCTCTGCTGCCTTCTATCTTCCTGTGGTTGTCCGAAGCTGGGAAGCCAAAGGCAGGCCCAGCCTGATGTTGAGATGAATGCTATAAAGGCCCCCCAACAGAGGTGTCGCTGCCCTCGGGGTCTCACACTGCCTCACCCAAACACTGCCTCTTCAAACACAAATGCTCTTAGAAGCCTAGCCTAGGACTCTTCCCATCACTGGGCTGGAAAAGGTCACACTATCAAAAGGCAGAACAAACCCATGGCTTGTCCTGCCGCATGGAGGCAGATGCCATCCTCTCTCTTCAGGCCTCCATTTCTCCAGCCACCAAGATAGGAGGTGGAGGAGACCCTCTGTTGGATCCTTCTGAACCTGACTTTCAGAGGCTTCTGGGAGCTCCTAGGGAGCTGAGATGACGTGGGACACCTGACTCTACCCTCACAGGCTGAATTTCAACAAGTCCAGGCTGCTGACTCGAGCAGCCAAGGGCTTCCTGGGCAAGCCACTGGTCAAGGCCACAGAGTCCACCTCGGGGAGCCAGAGCTTTGACTATGTCCCTCTGGTGAGTGCCCCAGACCACATCCACCCTCCTGGGCAGCCGGGCCTTCCTGGGGACCCTGCCCACTTGTCCCCAAAAGAAAGGAAGACCTTGCCTTAAGCACAGGTTCCCTGACTTCTGAGGCTCCTGGAGCTTCCCACCCAAGCAGCCAGCAGGGCAGAGGAAGGTGGTATGAGCCCCCTGCCCAGGGGTCTAGGGGTGTTGCTAGGAGCCAATGCCAGTGTCACAAAACTACTGTGCAATCAGCTGTCACCCTCTTAAAAATTCCTGGGAATTTTGCATTTAATTCCACCAGCTATGTGTGTCTGTTTTTCAGCACATAAAAATAAGCCTTGAAATGACTCACAAGTGAGTAAAATTAACACCCCGGGGACATGCACCTTGTTTAGCAAGCAGCTCTGCAGACGCCCCAGCATGCCATGGCAGGAGAGAAGGGAAGGTCTGGAGTGGGCTTCTGTGAACTGAGAACAAAACAGAGGGATCCTGCAGCAGCTGGGGCCTTCCAGGGCTTAGAGATCACAGGGTGCCCAAAGGAGGGGCATGGTTTTCACTTCACTGTACCCAAGTATACAGTCATTTTGAACCCCTGATATCCATGACAACAGACCACTATGCATGTATTTGCTCAGCAAGTATTTATGGGGTCAGGCTCAGTGCTAGACCTTAGGAAGATAGCTTTGTACCAGAGAAATGTAATCTCTGAACTCTTGGTGCTAGGCGTCCAGTGGGACCCAGACAAGGAACGAGGCGATTCCATGCTTGGGATCTGTGAGAGGAGAGGTCCAGTTTGGTGGGGGAAAGCAGGCTTGACCCAGGCCTGATGTGGGGCCAGTGGTAGCATCAAGCATGACTTCCTGAAGGAGGTAATGGTTAAGCCAAGACCTGAAGGATGAGGAATTAGAGAGGAGAGGGATACCTTGGTGGCTAGAATTTCAGTTTGAGGAGTATGAGTCCAAGACAAACAGGGCTGGGTTGTGCAAGGATTTAGAAATTGGGTTCTGGACTTAGATTCTGAGAGATAATGGAAGCCATGGAGCTGAGCCTCTGGAAGGTGCATGACCTATGGCTCATTGAGATCCCTCAAGTGCAGGACAGAGAGGTTGAGCAGGGAAGAAGAGGAAAGAGATACAGGGATAGCATGAGGAGGAGGCAAGCAGTGGACTGCAGAGCCACTTAGGAAGTTGATCTGTTGGGATTTAGAAACAGATGGGTGTGTGCAGAGAGGCAGAGAGGTGAGCAGGCCAGAGTCTTCAGGAAAGCCCTGGACAGTCCTCGTGGACACCCCTGCCCAGGGTGAGGAGCAGATTTTCAGCAAAGATACTGAGTGGGCTTGGACCATGATCCATGAGCAGAGCCTGCAAGATAAAGTCTAGGGAGGCTCCTTGGCCTGTGTATCCTGAAATTCCCCCAGGCAGGCAGGCAGGGTGGAGATGACGGAGTGGACTATGTGGGTCAGGACTTCTGCATGACCTGGGGCTCCACGGGCTGAAATGTGAGGCCCACTAAGGGGCTCCCCCATGCACAGGTGTCTCTGCAGCTGGCCTCCGGTGCTTTCCTGCTCAACCAAGCCTTCTGTGAGGCCATCCACATCCCCATGGAGAAGCTCAAGCGGACCTCGCCCTTCTCTTGCCACCGAGTGTCCCTCTCTCCCCGACAACTGTCCACCAGCCCCTCACCTCAGCAGCTGTCCTGCGACAGCATCTTCCTGGAGCCTCTGGCTGAGGGCAGGCCAGGCTCAGAGCCCAGGGCACTGGTGGAGCACACGGGAAAGCTGTGGGCCACCATAGTGGGGCTGGCTTGGCTGGAGCACAGCTCAGCCTCCTACTTCACTGAGTGGGAACTAGTGGCCGCCAAGGCCAACTCATGGCTGGAGCAGCAGGAGGTGCCCGAGGGCCACACACAGAGCACGCTGAAGGCTGCTGCTCGCCAGCTATTTGTGCTCCTGCGGCACTGGGATGAGAACCTGGAGTTCAATATGCTCTGCTATAACCCAAATTATGTGTAGAGGGGAGGGGGTTGGTCAGGAAGAGGGATGGGCCATTTTGGCCTGGTGGAGGAACCTTTTTGAAGCTGTAGCCAATATACTGATTGCTAGAAAGAGCCCTGGACTGGCAGTTGGGAGGCCTGAGTTCTATCCCAACTTTGCTACCACCTAGCTGTGCAACTTTAGGCCCTGTCCCTGTCTGGGCCTCAGTATCCTCATCTATAAAATACTAGGGTGAGATGAGGCAGTAAACTCGATCTTTTAATGGTTCAAATGTTCCTTTCTGCCCAGACTCTCAGGCAATCCTGGGCTTTAATGCTACTAGGGGATAGTGAGACAAAAATACAACTAAGCCTGAGTTTTCTCTGGTGGAAGACCATGAGGGCACAGAGTAGAAACAGCAGTCCCCCTCCTAACCCCAACAAAAGGACAGATAAGGCCAGGGAATTGGCTCAGTGGTTTCGCCGCCTGCTGCGCAACCCCAAGGACCCGAGTTCGATCCCCAGTACCAAAAAAAAAGGGCAGATGAGAGAACCCAGTGACTAAAGTAACCAGACCTATAAGCCTTCATCCAGGCACTCTGTTACACTGGGGCTAGGCTCCTGTCTTCAAGGTGACAGTCTAGGACCCCCACTTCCCACTTCCAAGCCAACTGGAGAACCATCCTTCCCAACACTTTCCACAGTTTCTCGAGGGCCTTTTCCTGGGCAAGGAAATTTTTAGTTTCAGTTTACAGATTTCTGGGGCTTTCTGTCTAAGGAGAGCTGGTGGGTAGTGCCCAGGGAGATAGAGACCTCGCAAGCCAAAGTATTAGATTGAAGCTTTGGTCTGTGCAGAAACAATCCAAACAGACATACATGCTCACAGAAGTTAGGGAAGAAAGCAGATGATATCTGAAATAACCTACATACTTTCAGGAGGTGGATAAAGTGGATTCCATGCACTTGCATTAAGAGGCTAGAGAGGCGCTTCTATGGGCACTGCATTCTGGGATAGTGGGGTCCTTCTCTAACCAGACTACATTGTGGGAGAGAGAGAATACCTTTGCAACAAAAACCATGCCTGGCCTCCATGCATTTGGGGATGGTAGCTTCAGCTAGATGGCATGATTGGTTTGGTGAAAAGAAAGGATGGTGAAGCATCAAAGCAGGATCCCCGGGGGCTCCCCCACCCCAGGCCCACCACATGACACTCATAGACAGGTGTGCACAGCCTCTGATTCCCTTATGACTAGGGTCAAACTGCCCAATTGCTATTGCCCCCACAGACTCCCCAGAGATGGGGCTGGGCCCCCAGGCTGAACTGATACACCCCAAAGTCCTCTTTCCAAGGCCTTAGCCTCTCCTCATCAAATTCCTTTCCCAGGAATGGTCCCAGGCCCTTGGCATGAAGCCCCACAGACCTCCCTTTTGCGGGGTAGGTGTGGCTCTGGCACAAGTTCCAGCCTCATAAAGATTCAAAGAATGTCCAGGCTACAGGAGGGGCCAGAGGAAGGGAGGGGCTCCAGCAGACTGCAGCAGGTGTGACTGTGACAGGATGTGGTGGCCTGGCCCTACCCCATCCTTCCCTCCCACCAAGATGCAGCATCTCCCAACAGGGAACTTGCTTCCCCTGCAGCCTTTGGTAATGGCTGCTTCACTGCCTGGCTCTGCTCCTTCTGGGAGGAACCCAGCCAGGCAGTCCCTGACCCTATGCCATTGTGACTCCAGTGGGACAGAAAGCCAGGATGGGGTGTAGGCTCAACATCAGCGCCACCAAGGAAGACAAGAGCTTTAGGTTGTCTTACTCGAGGCCCCAAAGAGGTGTGAGGAAAGCAGTGTCATCTCCCTGTGCTCCTCCCCTGCCCCATAAAAACCGTACTCCCATAAAAACCATTCTTCTTTAGCTATGCAGCCTGTAACCCTAGCTTCAGGGCAAGGATGGAGGGGGCGACAGTCACTTCCTGGTCCACCACTAATGGAAAAATTGCCAGGCTTCAAGTCAGAGCACCTGGGCTTGATTAGCTTGGGCAGTGAGTGGCTTCCCCTCTCTGAGTGTTCTGGAGCTGGGGGTCTGCCCACTGCTCTGATATTCCCAGATGATCGCCTCTAAGTTTTTCCCTCTCAGTGAACATGGGTTTGCTCCATTTCTCCATGTGACCTTGAACAAGTCATGTATGCACCTGGGGCTTCTTTTCCTCCTCTAACATGAATAGGTTGTACCAGGCTGTCCAGCCCCCAGCCCCATTTCCCCATGAGCCTGATTCTCACTCTTCAGGGCATGGTGAGGACAATAACCAGGGTCTGAGGCAGCCCAGCCCCTGCCCAGTGTGACCGGTATGTAAGATGCCTGGACAGAGTGAGCCAGAAACCTGGTGAGGTGGTGAACACACCACCCCCTTCTCCTGCAAGTTCCTTGGGCAGCACCCCTGCAGCAGCAGCCAGGGCTCAGCGATGTGTCTGGTATATGATCTGCACCACCCCTGGCTGCCCTGCCCAGCACCCAAGTGCAGGGGAACAAATCTTTTTGATTTCAAGTAACCCAAGGGCTGCAGAGGGACATCTAGACATGAGACATTTTTAAAATAACTCCGGTGGTATAAAGATGATTCGCAGCCTCAGGAATTTGCTGCCAGGATTGCCAAGCAGAGGATTGGAGAGACTCACCGGAAGGAAAGGATAAGAGCCTTGGGTAACGAACACCTGCATAGAGGCCAGAGGGGTTGCAAAGGTCCTCTGGTGGTAAAACACAGCCAATGCAACCTGGGAGAATTTGGATTCATCTGGTTTAATTTGTTAAACTAGCCCTTGCCTTCTGGGTCATACAAAGGCATACTGATACCCCACACTGTCTGAAGAAATGCTAATGGCTCCCTTCAATGAGGAAAAACTGAGCCAAGAATTGGGGGCCTAAGGGTCAGTTGCAATCCCACCCCCAGCATGCTGTGTGACTTCTGGCAAATCGAATCCTTCCTCTGAGGCCCTGTCTCACCTTTTGTAGAACAATGGGATTATACTTGATCCCCATTTCCAGCCCTGTTGCTCAGGTGAGATGTGAATAAGCCACCCACCAGAAACTGTTCTGTGGGCGAATATGCGGGGAAGCACCAGGAGAACAGACTTCTTTCAGGTTAGGATGGTATATGTGGATCCAGTGAGGTGACCCCCACGCAGCTCTTCCAGGTTGCTCAGTTGGTTAATGCTGGTCTAGATCTCCCTGGGGATTCTTTGTGCACTGACATCCGAAAACCTTTATGGAGCATATGCCCGGTTATGGGGGTACTGCTGCGAACACACCAGATGCTCTCTCTCCCCATGTAGAGTTTGGCAAGAAGCATGTGAAGAGCCTCTTCTGTGAAGAATCTTCCCACTCCCTGGGGTTCCAGGTGGGTTTGTCCTGACCAACCATGCTCCCAGCCCCCTGGTCCTGCCATGGTGGGTGTGGCTGCAGACTGGCACTATCTGGTTGCCATTTGCACTAAGCCACTCTCTGCGCTCCAGACACACACTGATGGTTTGGGTACAGCTGGCCACAATAGTACACGGTGCCATGCAGTCAGGAGAGCTCCCAGGTAGACCCAGGGAGTCCCTGAAATGGGGTTGACCTCCTGCCACACAAAGATGAAGAGCCTTGTCTCTGAGTCCTCTCTCAGCAGAAAAGACCACCTCTGGACCCCAGGAAAGCTGGGCCCTGCCCTCAGGAAAGCTCAGCCCATGGTTGTAAAAAAAGCTGCCTCAGCCTCCAACCTGCATCTGTGTTTCCTACCCTGTCCCCTCCCTGTGGGCAAAAGGAATGGCATCCCCTGTCCTCTCCACCTGCACTGGCACTTGCTGTGGGTGATAAATAGAGTAGCTGGTTCCAAGACCAGCCCTGGTGGGTTTTCGTTTGTTCTTCTTATTGTGAGAAACCAAGGATCCCCTCCTCCCTTCTAGCTGGTTCACCTGTCAGTAAAGGCTTCTGAAAGTTTCCTTAAATCTTGATCACGCCCAGCTGAGCTGCACCCTTATTTAAGGGCCAACTTTCTTCCTCTGTTGGCTACTCTTTCCCTCCTTCTTCCTTATCAGGGACTCCCAAGGGCAGGGAGTGAGGAAAGGGTTCTCCCCTACCTGCTAGAACCCTGTGTGTCACCTAGCACTTGCCACTCCAAGTGCTGCCTCTCACTACTTGGACACTGTCACATCTCCAGGTGACCCCAGACACAAATATATTCTGCATCCTCAGTGCCCTAGGGAAGGAAAGGGAAGGAATTGCCACCTCTAGAACAGAGCATATTTTTATTGCCAAAGCACTTAGGAAAGGTCCTCTTTTTCCCCTCCCAGGGACTAAATAAGTCAACAACAACAACAAAAATGGGCGCATCCCTCAGCTATAACATAGCACACTCCACAATGCCAGTGTAAAAATAACTAGGGCAGAGGTGTGTGTGGCATTTTGCAACTGGATAATCTGATCCACAGAGATCTGTCCCCAGGTCAGGAGCTTGGCAGCAGTGCCCAGCCAGGCCTCCAGCCCCCTACTATGGAGTAACCTGACCCTTGTGTCCAGCCTGCCCCAGGCCACTGACAGCAGCTGGTCAACAGCACTGCCTTCCCAAGTCACCTGACAATGGAGGGTTTCTCCTGTCCATGCTGCAATTCTCCTTGGCTTGGGGCCAGCTTCTTTGAACTCACAGCTGCTTCCAAGCAAAGCACTTCGGCTCGATGTGCTGACTGTGGCGACACGCGTGGTATAGTTTTACTATTTCCCCAGATGGCTTTGGCTCAAGCGGCATGGCCGGTGCTTGTCCCTGTCAGAGCCTCAAGTGCCTATAACATGCTCTCCTGTCCCTTCACCTGCTAACAGTAATGTCCCTACAGTGCCTGTGACACTTCTTATTCTTGGAATATACAGCACCTTCTTGCCTGGTGGCCAACTATGTAAATGTTGTGGAGGGCCTGGATGTCAGCTGCCTGATACCCACGATCCTTTGTGAATCCTGCCCTCAGGCTGTGTCTGTTCTCAAACTGAACAGCTTCTTTGGCTTCTTCGTATACGGTGGCTGCTGTTCTCCTATAAGCTTTGAGCTCATAAAAACTGTCAACGTGGCAAAGTTACACATGTGTCTACTCTTTTGTTCTCAGAGCCCATTAATACCTGGCTTTCAGCAATTCAGGAGTCTGTTTTCCTTGCTTAGTGAGTCACATTTGTCTTGATTTGGGTTCCTCCTAAAGTGGCCAACTATCCCAGTTGCCTGAAACTGGGAGAGGTTGCCAGAATGTAAGACTTTTTCAGTTTTAAAATTGGGACAGTCCTGGTCAAACTGGTACAAGTTGGTCACAACAGTATCCCAGTAGAGCCTGAGACAAGGATTCAGTGCAATGTACTTGGGAGATCCCAGGAAATATCTTTAGAGAATTTTGGGAGTGAAATAGAGACGTGAAGGACAGTAATAAAGGAAATATTACTTAGCAGGTTACCTCTAGGGCATGGACATGCATCCTTCAAACAAACTGGGAGCCAGAGTAGACCTACCCATTCTGTGGTACTTCTGGTCTACCTCAGGTGCATCTGCTGAACAGGTTCCTGTAGCCTGAGAAAGCCACTGGGCAAACAAATGGAGGTCCTGGTGCTAGCAAAAGGAGAACATGACACAATGTCTAACATGATTCCCCTCAACCCCTGTACCTCCTCTGCACAAATAACAGAGATAAGCATTTGACCTCTTTATGGATTGGAAGTTTCAGACACACACTATATTATTCCAAGACCTCTGAAATAATAAATGACCATGAAACATCATTATTGAAATAGAGGCAATGTAAATGACAAAGGATAAACTCATATTTTCTGTGCTTTTTATTTAGTCTGAAATCAGCAAGTTGAACTGTGAAATTAATTTTTAAGTTAAAAATTTTTAAAAAGAAATGTGGGTACTGGCAGAGGTGGGCCCATGTACACTGGACCAAAATAAGCCAAGTGACCACACAAGGCACTGACAGCACCTGCTGCCACCTCTCTCCTGAGCTGCTTTCCACATTACAGATTTTTCTTAGAAGTAATTAATGATCACTCAGTATAATTATTCAAAAGTGGTCACCAGCTAGCATGTTGCCCTGGGACCCACACAGTTTGGCCCAAAAATCAAACATAAGGCTCATTTGGAAATCCTGTAGCAATTTACATTGTTTCCTCAAACTCAATCATCCTTTTGTAGATTTCAGGGAGAACAGTTGACTAAAAAAGGAATTTCCAATAGGCCAAAGACATTTCTGTGACCTGCTAACAGCCCTAACAGGAACCACTGGAGACGCCAACATGCCAAAATTAAACAATCAACAGAAACCTGCCCACCAGCATGGCCCTCACAGATGATTTCAGCACTGAGACAGAGAAGCTTTTTCTATGCAGCTCAAAGCTCAAGGGGTCCCAAGGCCCCTGAACAGCTCCCTCAATTACAGGAAAGGGACACACTGCCTTTGGAAGAAATGTTCATTTTTGTTCTCTTCTCTCTGTTGGGCCTCCTGTAAAAGGCAGGCTGCGTGTGTGTGTGTGTGTGTGTGTGTGTGTGTCCTGCTAGGATCTCCTGGGCCTCCCACTGGGAAGAACATGCTGAAGAAAGCAGGGGCTCAGGACTCTTGGGCTCTCTCCAGAGACCACTGCCTGGGGTTTTGAGGGCTCCTGGGTCTTCCTTTATATGGTACCCAGTTCCCTCCAAAGATATGAGCTCCCCCGGGCTCGATGCATCATTATCCTGGTCTGAGAAGAGGACAAAATACCAAGTTGGGTCCTGGCTCAGCTCTTCCAAGCTCTCTAGTTCTGTCTTGAAACCCCCATTGCCCTCATCTCTTTTAAGCGTCACTGGGAATCTGCTGGTCATAAATCCCTCCTGGAATCTAGACCACCTGCACCCACAATCCGGCTCCCCCAGATCCAGGTTCCTGGAGAAAGAAAGGGGCACACATCCCCTATGGTACACTGAGACTGGGTCACCTGGGGTCACACTTGCTGAGAAGAGCCTTTCCTGACCCAGGGGGAAGAGTGGCCCTAGGATGGTGACCAGCCCCAGCTCCTGAACCCCCAATCCGACGACTGGAAGGAGGTCACTCACAATGGCTTCCTCAGCCATCCTGAGATAAGCTGCTCTCAAGGGCCTAGGTTCTCCGTGGGGCAGACATGGGTCCTTCCAAGTGTTGGCCCAGTCCTTGTCTCCCCTGCACTGGTGGCTTCAGCAACTGAGCTTTCCCAGATCAGGAAAGCAGGAGCTGGCTACACAAATGACCTTGTCACTCAAGCCCCCAGTGCTGCCCTGGCTTTCCAGCAGAGGGCGCTGTGGGCATGCACTGCCTTCTCAGCCCTGCGCAGTTGCTCACCAGCGAGTGGGGAACAGCTCGGAAAGCTATTCCTGTCCTCTGCCAACAGTCTTTCTCCTCTGCTAAAAACGAGTGCTTCGTGATGGCTAGGAAGCCCACTGAAAGGCTGTGCCGGTCACGACTCCGGCCAGGGGTCCAGAAACCAGGCTGGCTCACAGGTGGCTGCAAAGGTGAAAGTGACCAGTTGACCCATTCTCCCTCCGGCTTCTTCCTCTCCACCGTACTCTCCCTCCCTCTTCCACAAACCTCATGTAAAGCCCACTCTGTCAGGAAGCTTTCCCAGACCTTCCAACAAGTGGCATATTAGTGTGTGGGGTATGTGTGTGTGTGTGTATTCTGCCTCCCTCATCAGACTGGAGGTTCTCCAAGGCAGAGATCTTATCTCCTCCATCAGACAGGGAAAATCCCTGATGGAGAAGACTGTGCTCTCCTTGAGCTGCTATAGCTCCTACCTTGGCCCTCTGCCTGCAGGCCATAATCAATCTGGGGACGGTCCTCTTACCACTGAGATGACCGCTAGTCCCACAAGCTTTGCATACTTGGCAGGAGAGAGTTAGGATTTGGTCAGGCAAAAGATGGCCACCTGGAGAGGTAACAGAAAAGGGGAAGGCGTGAAGACCCCAGGTCCCTTATCTACACCACCCTCTACCCTGCCTTAGCAGGTCCCCCTCCATCTGTACTGTCACCTATCACCCTGCCCTCATGGCTGTTTACTTGTGCTATTTATTGTAGTCCCCTCCCCATTCTCCCTTCCCCCAGGTTGGCCCCTTTGCATCCAGAGAAACCTGAAACATCCTCACTGGCTCCCTACTGCCCATGGAGGGAAAATCCAACCCCTTCACCTGATAAACAAAACCTTTCAGCATCTTACCCCACTTAGACTTTGGTCTCCCTTCTTGCACTTCCTGCAGGTTGCACCAGGGATCATTTCCTCAAGAACATTTCATTTCCTGAGTTACTACATCCCAGGCTCTATTCTAGACTCTGGAATACATCAATAAACAAAACAAAGTCCCTGCCTGGATAAGCTTGCTAGGGCTGCCATATCAAAGCACCACAGATTGGAGGCTTAAGCAGCAGACATTTATTGTCTCAGTTCTGGAGGCCAGAAGTCCAGCATCAAGGTGTCACCAGGTACCTTCTGAGGGCCACCTTCCAGAATACACCAGCTAACCCCAGGCTTCACATGGCAGTCTCACTATTGCCTATCTCCAAAGTCTTCCTTCTCAGAAGAACACCACTCATACTGAATTAAGGCCCACTTTGATGACCTCATTTTTAGCTTAATTTCTTCCTTAAAGACCCTATCTTCAAATAAGGTTACAGTCAGAGGCGCTGGAGGCAGAACTTCAACATATGTATTTAAGGAAACAAAATTTAAGCCATCACACTGCCCTCGTGGAGTTGATGTTCCAGCCGACAAAGACAGACAAGAAACACAAGATCAAGTAAATATACACTAGGGCAAAGGCGACAGGGCAGGAAAAGGAAGTAGTGTTAGAAGGAGGGAGTAACAGGGCAGGGAAGGTGCTATTCAGTCCAGGGCTGTTAGGGCCTCCTGACAAAATGACACAGAAGCAAAGACTGCATCTGCATGTTCCCCTAGCAAGCTCTTCAAATCTGCCATGTCTTTTGTGCATGTGATGGGAATTTCCAAAGGGCAAACACTTACCCTTCCAAGTTCAATGTAGAGCCTGTCCTTTCCAAAACGCCTTCCCTGACCTGCATGCCCAGAGCAGACAGGACTATGCAGCTTCTGTTCCTCCTGCCCTTTGTACTCTAGGTCCATCTGTGACCTCAGTGCTATTTTAGGGCTGTGTGGCTGGCCACGTGTCTCCCCCATTAGGCTGTGAGCCACTTGAGAGCAGAGATGGGGCCTTCATCATCTCTGGGTCCTCATACAACACCCAGAACCTCTCAGTAAATGTGTGCTCAAGTTCAAGGTTAGAGGTTGACTCATTCTGTCAATCTTTAGTAAAAAGAGTCAAAAATTATCATTTGAGGACTCCTAAATATCAGATGTGATTTTCCCATCCATTCATTTGCTCCTCACAACTCTACCAAGTATCTTTTTGGTGTTACCAATGAGGAAGCTCAAGTTCAGAGACATCAAATTACCTGATCAAGGTCACCCAGCTAGAAACTAGTGGGGGCAGGATTCAAATGCAGTCTGCCCAACTCTGGGGCCAGCCAAGACAGGCATTCATTCCTTTACTTCGCCTATGGTTCACTCCAAACCTGCTGTGTGCAGGCCAAGGGGGGCAAGTTGGGGAGGGAAGGGGAGCTTTTGATCTTGAGTTTGTCATTTTCTCCCGAGTTGAAGGAAGAACTGCTCTTGACTGCTCAGCTGCTGGGACTGAGCTCATTCTCCCCTTGCCCAAATCCCCTCTCCCCACACCATCCCCAGAAGACAAATATAGCCCAACTCTTCCTGTCCCTCCACAGGAAGGCACCTGGGGAAGAGGAGGCACAGGATACAAGAGGGGAATCAGTGACAAATCTCCCTGTCCTTCTGCTCATCACACACTGCACCCTCGGGCCCAGTTCCCACTCCCATTGGTGCCCCCAGCAGGAGAAGCTGCAGGTGGGCCCTGTCCTGGGGACCCACTCCTTCTATGGGCAGTTCCGAGATGTCAGAGCTGGAAGGGTGCTTAGAAAATACTCTCCAAATACCCACTCCACTCCACTCCCACTCTGCAGCTGGAGACAGAGACCCAAGAGGTCAAGCCCTGGACCAAGGTCATGCAGGTCCACAAACAACTGCCCTCATCAGATCTAAACATCCACAGAGGGGCTACTGTAAGGTAATGTTCTCAGAAGGGCCATGATGAAATGCCTATGCATGCAGGCAGAGGTGAGGGGTAGAGACAGGAGAGTCCAGAGGAACAAGCACACAGGCTAGGTCCTGAGGCTGGGGACTTGGAGGGGATCGAGGGTGTAAACAGGCTAGAAGGAAGGGTGGACGACACAGAAGACAAATCTGGCCCCCTCCCCACTCTGTAGTAAAACCCAGACCCCTGACACTGCAGTAGCAATCATTCAGCAAAGGCACAAGCCACTTCAGGTACACAGACTGTGTGCCCCTAGGCAAGTCCTTTCTCCTCTCTGGGCTCAGTTTCCATGTTTGTTAAGCAAGGAGGTGGACAGGATAACCACCAAGGTTCCCTCCAACACTCTGGGGCTGTGAGTTTGCAGTCTGATTCCAGGGCCTCCAAACACTAGAAGACAGAAGGGTGGTGAGGATTATGCCCACCGCACCTCAGCTGCTCTGCAGCTCTGTCACCTCTTCAGGAGACACGGCACTTCCCCTGGCCCAAAGGTCCCAGCTTTCTGGAGCCAGAGCCCAGCAGGGCCGCGTCTGGTCCAGGATGGAGAAATGAGCCCTCAGAATCCAGAGAACACACAGAGCAACAACTGTCCCAAGCGCCCAGCAACCACCAACCAGGGAGATCCACCAGATTCCTCTCCAGAAAGTGCTGCTGACACCAGGACAATGCCACCTGGGCAGTGGAAAAAGCAGGAACTTCCGGGCCAGCCCACCAGAGAGCCAGCATCTGACTCTCTGTAGCCGGTCACTTCATCTCTCAAAGACTTTCCCCATCCAGAAAATAATCCCACCTAGACTTGCAGCTCCTGCGATGTCCCAGGAGGCCTTACACAGCGACCTTTAGATCAGTTGTCACAAGTGCAGAGGGGAAGGGCACAGTTGTGAGGGTTTTAGTCAGCTGCAACTCCCAGCCGAGAAACAGAACTTCCAGGGAGACACTGAGGAGGCCTGGGAGCTGGCACTGCTGTACCCGCAATGTCAGTAATAAAAATAAATGAATGGCGAGTCAGCCCCTCTTCCCACCTAGACAGCTGCCTGGAATGGGGTCGTACACACAGTACAGGAGGGTCTGGTGGTCCCAGCCGGGCGCCGGGGTCTACACCAGGGAGCCGCAGGAGTCAGCACCCCGCGGGGCCTCCAGGGCAGGGCTCTGCTTGTTGCCCCTCTTCTCCGCTCCAGGCCACTCTCCAAAGTCACCCGCGAGGGGTCTCTGGGCCTGTTTCTCTGCCCCCCTCACTCCACCAGCACCTCCCCAATCTCCCCTCCACCCCAAAGATCAAAGTCCTGTCTCCAGCCTCACTGAAGCCACATCTATCCTTAACCCAAAATCCTGCCAATTAAACTGCTCCCTCAGGCTCCAGCAGCGGTGGCTGCTGACTTTGGGAGAACCAGGCCTCCCTCCACAGTGTGCCTCGCATCCGAACCTCACAATTGCTTGCGCGGGGCTCCCCCACCAGCTCCAGACTCCCCCAGTGACCCCCAGAGCCCCCTCCCCGCGCGTGCTCCCAGAAGACTCTGCGCCATGGCTAGGCTCTCCCAGACCCCTGCGACCCCGCCCACCCCGCTCCTCCCGGCACCTTCTGAGCTGTCGGGCCTCGATTTCCCCTACCGCTCAGAGCAGCGCTCTGTGTCATCAGGAAGGCGTCGCCGTGGGAACCGGGAGGGGGCACATTAAGAGCAATTAGCCAGCGCACAGTTGGCAGCGATACTTTAATAAATAATAGTCTGAAAGGCATGTAAATAAATATTAGAGCGCATTACGCGGGCAGGAGGCGCGCCACGGGGCCCGCGGCCCATGGAGACGCCTCCGCCAGGGCGAAGATTGGCACGTGCCGGTGGCTGCTGGGGATCCCGCGTCCTGGGGGCCTGGGCCTGGCTGACAGGGCTGAGCAGGGAGGGTGCAGGGGGAGGCCCAGAGACAGGGCCCAGAGACAGAGCCCAAGGAGAGAGGCACAGACTGGGAAAGAGAAAACAGATGGAATAAATAGGAGAGAGAGGATCCAGGAGAGTGAAGATTAAGGTACGAGGGTGGCAGGAGAGGCCGAATCTGGTTTCCCTGCAGCTGTAGACATGAGAGCGCCCATCGGCCTGCAAGACGGACTTTCCTTCCTCTGCCTGCCCGATTGCTCCTTCTTGGTCTCCGCCTGGCTCCAGTAGCCACACTGGGGGAACTTTCGGACTCTTCACGCCCATCCCGGCTCTCTCTAGAGATGAGTTTACCGGTCCAGGCGCTGTAAATGTCATCATGAGCGGAGGGCCCCACGCCGGCCCCCAGCCAGGCCTGGCCCCTCTGTGCCAACGCTGAACAAATTCTCTGTGCTCTGAGCCTGGCTTCGGTGGCAGCCTGCCCTGTTCAGTAAACTGCGCACACACACACACACACACACACACACACACACACACACACACACACACACGCCCCCAGTCCCAGCGGCCAAAACCTTAGATTCCTCTCTCCACTTTGTGTCCAGTGCATGCCATCTCTGTGTTGCAGATGTTCCTTCCATTCTTCCATGTTCACCTGAGTGGTCTGGGCTCTCTGCTCCCACCAAGGTCCCTTTGGACAGAACTATAAAACTGTGAGTCAGCTCAAGCCACTCCCTCGGGCAGACATTGTAGCAGAGGAAAAGCCATAGTCCCTTCCGTCTTCCTTTTAGCCCCAAGCTCATGCCCTCTGCACCAGCCATCCTGGCCTCCTGCCTGTTCCTCAAACATAACAAGCCTGCTCCCACCTTAGGGCTCCAGCACTGGCTGCTTCCTCCTTCGGGAACATTCCCCAGATGGCATCAGAGTGTACCTCATCACCTCTTTCAAGTTTTTGTCCCATTCTCCAAAAGGCTCACCATGGCCATCCTATAAAAACCGCAAATTTCTCTTCCCTCTCCCTAAAGGAAACCCATCCTGCTTTCTGTTCCTCTGTAGAATTCAACCTCATCTACTGCACTACATTAACTTGCTTCTTTTGTTCATTCTCTCCCAAACAGATGGCTAGTTCCTTGAAAGCATGGGATCTGCCCCCTCTTGCCCTGCCCTTATATCCCCGGTAGCTAGAGTAGTGCCAGGAAGGTAAAAGAGGATACTTAAAGGAAGAAGAGAAGGAAGAGATGAGTTTGGAGGGAAGGAAGGGAATAAAGGAGATGAGGAAGAGAGTACCAGGGGAGGGAACAGCATGGACAAAGGCAGGGTGACGTGAATGCTAATACAGGTGGGGAAGGTTGGAAGGAAGCTGACCAGTTGGAGCTTGGGATGGCCCTGAGGCTGGCATGGTGCTCAGGCTGAAGGGGGCTCAACTGGGGACCTGAGATACAACAGCCCCACCCAGTGATACCCCCCACTCCCCCACACCCCACCCCCACAGAGCAAGGAGCCCCAGCTCCACCTCAGGCCCAGCTGGGAGTTGGACCCTGGTGCTGCAGGCAGTACTGCATGGGTAGGCCCCTGGTAACAGCCACAGTAATTACTGGTTGTGTGCGATTAGGGGATAATTATGCTTAATAAGTCCAAAAGTAATTACCACGCAGGCTGCTTGCTGCTTTGGAAAACAGAGGCCCCAGTGAGTGAGAGCCAAAGAATTGAGAAGGGGGAAATTAGGCATCATGGACATTGGGGTACTGGCCCATTTCTCCAGCAGATGCCTGCATCCTCCTGGTTGTGCCCTCACCAGGGGTTTGCTCACCTTTGTTGACTAGGAGCTCATTGGCACATAATGTTCCTCCCAACACTGGAAGTCTGCAGGCACAATTCTACCTACTATTTCCTGTCCCCAATCACATTGTGACCTCACCACTTCCTCACTCGACATCTTGCCTATGCATAGACACAGAATGGAAGGGTGGTCATAAAAGAAGCTGTGCGTTGTCACAGATTTCACCATGGATTTTCTTACTGAGCCACAGCGCTGCAGTAGTCTCATCACAAAGTGGGGACCAAGGCTCAGCCCGAGCTCACAGTGGTGGTGGGGAGCAGAGTTGAAAGTGCAGTTGGGTCTGATGCTGAAGTCCACATTCCCACCTGTAGCCGTACTGCTGTCCGCAGTGCACAGCAGAACTGATCCAATGCCCTTCCCAGACACTGCCCGTGTCTCCTTGGGTCTCTTCTTTACACAGAATTCAGAGGCTGGACTTGTTGCACATACCCAGGAAGCCCTGGGGTACAATGAAAAGGACACCCTGGTTCTGTAGCCAGCTCACCCTGAAGCCTTGAGCAAAGTCACATGACCCCTTTGGACCTCTATTTTCCTATCTGTGTAAAGGTGGACATTCTGCTTCTGCAGGTCAAACCCAAGACTGGAGAAGCTCCAGGGCCGTGCTGGCCTGGGGCTTCCACACCAGGAGCTGAGAGACACTCAACCTTCCCAATCCTGAGATTATTCCCTTTCCTCCTCTTTCAGCTGCCATTCAGGGCACTGAAGAAGATGCCACAGACAGTGACCAATACTCTGGTCTGGTCACACTGTCCTATCCCTCCCCAACTTGAAACATTTGCCTGTTCTTAGAACTCATTTTCCACTCAATAAGAGCAATGGAGGTTTGCAGGACTCCAAGAATATATTAACTTGTATGATTACAGTCAGTTATGGTGGCTTTTCAGGTGACACTTTGTGTCAACTTTCTTACTTGATTCCTACATTAACCCCTTTGACACATGAATGATGCTCTCCATATTATATGTGTTAAGCAGCTGAGTCTCAGGAAGTGGAAACAATTATCAAAAAATCACATGACTTGCAAAAAGGCAGAGTCAGGATTTGAACCCAGGTCTGGCTCAAAGCCTGTGCTTGTAACCACTATAACTATTCTATACTTCCTCACAGCCTTAAAACTACCTGCCCTGGCATCTGGGGCATCAGATAAAAGGATGAGACTTGACTCAAAGGTGGAACCCGCCCTTACCCACAGCACTAGAGCCCAGATCCTCACAAGCTAATGAAGCCCTTTCATGTTGACATCTTTCTTGGTAGAATGCCCAACACAACTGTTTCTCCACCAAGGAGGACTTTTTCCCCATGACCCCAGAGGGAAGAGAAGGATCTGGAAGAACAAATACCACAGTGGAGTCTTCTCACTCACCCCTGGAGTGGGGCAATGAGGGAACAGAGAACATGAATATAGCAAGACCTTTCCAGCTCCCTAAAACACCAGGCCTGCAGACCAACAGGAGGAAGGGAGTGGAAATAGCCTCACTTAGCTACTGTGGGCTATAGAGGACCACAAATATGGGATCAGGAGCCTCTAGAGTGAAAAAATCACTGCCATAGCAATGATGGGAAAATAGAGGCCCAAAGGGGTCAAGTGACTTTGCTCAAGGCTTCAAGGTGAGCTGGCTGCAAAACCAGGGTCTCCTTTTCATTGCATCCCAGGGCTCCCAGGGTATATGCAACAAGTCCAGCCTCTGGCTTCTGCGTAAAGAAGAAGAGACCCAAGGAGACACAGGACAGTGTCCGGGAAGAGAACGGCCAGCAGCCCATAAAATCTGTGCCATTTATGCAAAACGTACATCATGATTTTTTCTGTCAAGTTTGCAAGTTTTTTTCATAAAGCCATAAAACAATATCACTGACAAGCAATGACCCATGGAAAGATGGCCTAGGATTGAAAAACACAAATATTTTCTAAGGTAGTGGGGTCCCAGCCCTGCCCGAAGATGTTTGCAAATGCACAGAAGGCAGGGGCAGCCCCCTGGGGATTTTGATTCATCAGGTGAGATGCAAGGCCTGGAAATCACAGTATTACTAGAATCCCATTTCTCCCAGGAGATTCTGCAACAGCCAGCCCAGCCAGAGCTGGAGTTGGCAACCACCGTCCAAAGGAACCAGTGGTGTTTCAGCACCAGGGACAGGGACACACGCTTTGGACCTCTGGAAGGCACTTGCTCACTCTACCTGTGAGGGGAGCTTTAAAAAAACAAACCAAAAATAAAAACCTTTGGGGCTGGGGATTTAGCTCAGTAGCACTGTACCTGCCTCACAAGCGCAAGGTCCTGAATTCAATCCCCGGTACCCAAAACAACAACAGCAAAAACCTTTTGTTCTTTTACTTTGTCCAGCGGGGTGAGGAAGTGTGGAGCCTTCTCTTTCCCTGGTTGAGAGTATGGTATATGCTCTGGATGATCCGAGTGGCCCCGTCTCACAGGGCACGAAAAGCCAATTGGAGAGGGAGCAGAATCCTATCAATATCAAAGCAAGGGACCCCACCCACCCAACAAAAAGACCTCATACCTGTATTTGATAAGAAGGGAGAGGAAAGGAGCAAGGTGAAAGAACTTTGGCCTAGAAATCCTATGAAATAGCCTTAAGACTCCCTCTAGGTCACATCTTGATGTTGGCCAAGCCATGTCCCTTCTCTGGGCCTGACTAGGCCATCACCAGTGAGGGTACCGGTGACATCTGGGGAATTTGACCCTAGATCTTTATGATGACATAGATAAGTTTTCTCCCTCTACCTCGTTCACCATGGCATCAAAACAGTGAACCATTCCAAGCTAGTGTTTCTGAAAATATGACCTTCAAAATTGAGAATGTCTCAAGAGTCAGGCATTTTGTGCAAACAGAAAAGGAAGGTGAAGTACCATAGTAAAGGTAAGTTTAGGGTTATTGAGGTAATCAAAGTCAAGCAGGCCCTTTGCTGTAGAGCTTCTGGCCCCAGTAATATGCTACTGTCATTGCTTATTTCTAAGACGGTGGGCAAGAAGTATTCAGTGTTTCCCAAACTTCCCTTCATGGAACACTGGTAGGAATAGCTAACACATATATAGCATATCTTAAGTGCCAGGCATTATTTTAAGATCTTTCCATTTTAAGTTATTGAATCCTCACAACAACCCAGGAAGCAGGTGCTATTATTGCTCCCATTTTACAAAGAGGGAGCCTGAGGCATAGAAAATCCAAATACTTTTCCAGAGTTGCATGGCTAGTATACTGCACAGCAGGGATTTGAACCAGGCAGTTGGGCTCCAGAGTCTGTGCTTCTGACTCTAACTCTGAACTGCCTCTCCCACCTTGAGGGCCTGGAGTTCATAAGCCACAGTGTGGGAAATGCTTTCCTAACTGCAAGTCTGTTTAGCTTTGGATATTTTGAGTGATCGATTTTTTTCTTTTTAATATGATTTCCTTTGGGTTGATGTTTAGATTTTCTGAGCAAATAGTCAGACCCACACGATGGCTGGGAAGTGGGGAGCCTGGTGTGAGCTTTCTAAATTATTATTTATCTGTTTGTTTTTAATTAAGATTAGCTTTGCTCCACGTGAGGCAGAAAACTGTGTTTCTAGTCAGCTGATGGGAGTCAGGAGAAAGGGGAGAAGAAAGACTGGCTGCAGGAAGAAAGGGAGGAGAAGAGAAGTAAATAAAAGAGGGAAGAGAGGGATGGAGGCAGAAGAGGGACAGTGGCTTGGAGTGAGGAGAAGTGAAGTGGTTCACTAGAAGAGAACCAAAAAGACAGAGGAAAGAGGGAAGTGAAAATGGCCTCGCCCTCAGCTTCTGCTTCTGGGGCCCTCTGCCTCCAGCCTCCCCGCTCACCCAGCTCTACTCTGGGCCAAGAGCAGCTGGGGTCCCTCCTTCCATGGTGCCAGGTGAGGACAGTGCTCTGCAGGCACCTGGGGGCAGTTTGGAGCCTAATCCTGGCTGGGATCCTGGGACTGTGGCACGGGGACCCTCCTGCTCCTTGAACACCATTCGGGCCTAGCCTCCACTCCAGACACTTTCCGTGCAACTTGACCAGAACAAATCCACACCTGTCACCCACCACCAGGAGCTTCCACCCTTCGATTCCCTCCTGGGAACTTCACATAGGCCTGATATGCTTTCTCTGCACCAAAGCCTCCCTCTTAGGTGGCTCAGTTAGCACCAGGACTCAGCTGTGCCGCTCATCGTTAAAAAAAAAAAAAAAAAAGTGAAATCTGGATCTTGCTTCTCTTTACACAGGAGAATCAGCACCAGTCAGTGTCATTGGTGACGGTCTGTGCTCCATGCCCAGCCCTGGGGCTTCCTTGAGGGCAATGGGGTAATGTCATCCCACTGGCCTGAGCCCAGTGGACTCTGGTCCCATCCAGGCCAACCCCACCTCTGCCTCCAGCAGCCACTCCCAGCCCAGGCCCTCACTCTCAGTACCTCTAGGAGGAAATTTGGGCCCGGTGTTGCTATGGCAACTGTGGTACCAGTGATTGCTATTCATTACATTCAGGGGATAGAATTTTATGACCTGGAATCAAAAAATGCAAAGCAGCCCATGATATAGAAAGTACAATGCAGAAATACAGAAAGCAGGGAGGCTCTGCAAAGTTGCTCTCAAGTAGAATAATGCTGAAAAGTTACCTGCCCTTCCTGGGACTCAGTGGCCCCACCTGTCAAATGGGGAGGATGGGAAGAGATGAGCCCCTGGGCTCTCCCAATCGGTGGGTGCCTCCTAAGTACATGTGCAAGGTGAATGCACATGGCCCCTCAGTGCTGACCCATGTGCTCTCAGGGCAGGGTGAAGAATTACCCAAAGGGCATCATCAGAAGTTCTGTTTTCCATTAACTCCCACTTCTGAAAGCAGGAACATTCTTTTAGCCCAAAGGGGCTGGCCCCTCAGTGAGCTGGTGTCGCTTAGATGGAAACTGCTCTCTTTGGGGTGGATTGCCAGTACCCTTTGGCCCTCTTCCATCTGCCCATTCCCAAAAGCAGCCCTCT